TGCCCCTCTCGGGCTGAGTATGGCCCCTCTTGGGCTCGTCAGTAATCGCCCCTCCTAGGGCTGGGGTCTATGCACCCCGCAAGTGACACTCTTGCTGGCGTCCGCTGGGCCCGTCCTGGGCTCCCCAGTATGGCGCTCCCCATCTTCGGGGCTCACCGTGCCCACCTTGGGCTTCTCAACAGGGCACTCCCCCTCTCCGGGCTCGCCATGCCCGCCTCGGGCTTCTCAATAGACCAATATGGCGCTCCCCCTCTTCGGGGCTCGCCGTGCCCGCCTTGGACTTCTCAATGCTGCCCCACTCTGGGGCTGGGGTCTACGTACCCCGCATACAACCTGGGGTCTATATTCCCCGCCCGCAGCCCACTGGTTGCGCCCGCAACCCACTGGTTGCGCTCACGCCCTCTTAGCATTAGGGCACCCCACACTCTCTGGGGTCCCTATACGGATAATGCGCCCACCGGGTGCTGGACTGCGCCCTCATTGGTGCTGGGGCCCCACCCCTCTGGGGTCCCTATGAGGTTCAGCCGCTCCTCTTAACTGACCCCACAACTCTGCCCTGCAACTCTCAGGGCCTAGTGCGCCCTCACTGGCGCCGGGGCCCTACTTTACCATGAGCCCCGCCTATGAGGCCTCCTCCAACCCCTACAGCGTCACCCAAACCTCCGGTGTAATATCAAAGCCTGAACACAAACTCGAGCCTCCTGGCTATAACTCAAACATAAAGCCTCCTGGCTAAACCATGGTGCTCAAACCTCTCAGAGCTGTCATCCTCCTCTCAGCTAGAGTGGTTCCTGCATTGCTCGCCTCCTAGCTCCAGGAGCCCGAGCCCGAGCCCGAGCCCCTCTGGCTGCTGGCAGGGAACTGCCAGCCTGGCCTCAGCCCTGGGCTTTATAAGGGCCAGGCCCTGCCCCCTACAGGCAGCTAACTCTTATTAGTCGCCCTGGCAACCCACAGCTGTACTCATTATCGCTGCTAGGGCTTTTCCCCAGCAGTTTTCCGCTCTCTAGGAGCAGGCACCGAGGTGCCCTGCGACATATACCATTAGTATCTTAACATTAGCACATGCAAATCTTACTTCCCAAGAGTAAGATAAATTCCCTTTGTTTCCTTACAACTTTCATTTGACACAAAATGTTTTGGATTATATAACATCAATTGTATCCTTGTATCCTGCTTTTATATCTTGCTTTTTCCCTAACCTGAAGTAGAATCTATTAAATAATCTTTTCCACAGCAGTGGTATTCTATATTCCATGGTATTATTTTTTCTGCTTTTCAGTCAAGTCCAACCATGCTATTCTGTTGGATGCGTTATCAGCCTCCTAATTACTGTTGTAAAAGTACAGGGGAAAGGAGTCATATATGTAATTGGACTCTTTTAAGAATGTTATTATTAGCCATAATAACATGGCTATGGAATGTTATTATTAGCCATATTTGTTTTCTAAACATGGACCAGAGCTACTGATAAAAAAGGGTCATTCTTCATTCTTGGCACATGTAGCTAAAACTTATGCTTTCTCCAGATTCCTTCCCGCAACAATCAGTTCCTACTTTTAATTTATACTTTAATCTAACTAGAGATTCTAGACATGGCAAATTATAGCAACTTTATAAATTTTTCACATCTAGAATCTAATTATGGAGTGCTCATCTTAAATTCAGTCACCTAGGATTCAGGTAAATAGGATACATGCAGATAACATCTATTGTACATTGTATAGCTGTTCCTCTATCCGTTGCCTTTCAAGTAATTAGTATTTCCTGAAAGACAGAATAATTTAAATGTTCTATTCATTTTAATTTCTGATATCTTGCCAGTGAAAGAGATTTCATATTTTTCCAAGTCTATTGTTTGATTCTGACCTGTTTCAGGAATGGGGCAAAGTTAGATTAACCTAATTCATCTAACTGGGCTGTGATTTGTACCTGGGATGTTTTCTTTTTGTATAATTCAGTGGTTTCATACTGGTCTAACATCATTAATTTTAGACATCAGAGAAGAGAATCAGATCCAAAATGTGAAAGAATGGTACATAAAATAAATTATAAAACAAGATTATAGTGTTATTACTGCAAGGTGGTCACATCATTTCCAGAAATAAAGCAAGGATTAGTCAAATGATTTAAGAGAAATTTATTTATAATTCCAAACTAATATAACATACTCCAAAATCTTTTTATAGCATGCTACAGTAGGCGTCTCTTGCTCTGATGCTTTGGCAGACTACACAGAATGCTCCATGATGCAGCACCTACTATACTGATTCTGTTTTTTCTCAGAAAGCAAATTTTAAGTGAGAAATAATCCAAATAGCAAACACTGAGATTGTTTGTTTTTGTAGGGTTCTGGCTCCTTTTAGTCTGAGGTAAAATAGAGCTACAGTACGCAGTACCTTTGCCCTAAGTGGAATTATCCTTCTGGGAACAAGCTTACTCAAATAACATTTTTGTTGTGTTAAGATTATAGTATTTACACTAGTCAGAGGCCTCTTTGCCCCACTTGATCATATAACTAAAAGACAAACTATGTATACGGTAGAGTGTGTGTGTGGAGAGATACTCTTTTATGCTACAAAATCCCAGAAGTTACCTTCCAATTGTAAACTAATAAGTGTTTTTTTGCAATTCATCTTCATCTATATACAATGCACAATCACAGAAGATACAAATAAAAAAATAACTAATGTACATTTTCCTTGAAGCGCAATCCAGCTTGCCTAAAAAGTTCTCTCTGCATTATATTTAACATATAGACAGGATGACATCTTTTCTATTGAAGGTTGGCACCTGAAGCAGGCTTTCCTCATTATGGTTTGGCAATCATATATCCTTTATCAGCTCTCTGTTTCCAGCATTTGTGAATTAATAAACCCCCTACAAGCAGGCAGGCCAGTGCTACTGGAATCATTGCTATGTACCAGGAGAAACTGATTGCTGTAAAAAGAGAGAGAAAGAGAGAAATATTATATATATATATATATACACACACACACACAAATATATTTATTTATTTAATATCTATATATTAAACAGCATAATTTTGTAAAGTCAAAAAAGCCCCAGAAAATGAGTATCTGATCCTCCACCCTGCTCACTGAATGGGCCCTTTGATAGGAATGAGCCTAATCAAATGGGTTAGAAAGACTCACATGGTGTGAAGGCTGAAGGATCAGAATTTTAGGGTTTGTCCATGAGGAGAAACTCCTGTGAAATGAATGAGGGTGTGAATTCAAAGTGCAGTATCTATTACACTAGATCCCTGGATGGACACCCTCAGTTCACACTAAGAATGCCTTTGTGTGGGTTAGTTTAATTTAGTTCCAGTGTAGACTATGTTAAACCTCACAAAGGGACTCTTAGTGTAGAAAAAGACCTTGTACGGACATTCAGTTTCTCCTGGGAGAGCCACTCCCAAAGGAAACCAGGAGTATACAGATGCTCAGGCTTTTTCTCTCAGAGTAAAAATGGCAACTCCAAGAGCAAATAACTTGGGTAACAACCAGGGTTAAATCACTCCCAGGATATTTGCAGATATTTACAGTATACAGATATTTGCTCTCCCAGAAGTGTTTCTCCTGGGAGCGTGAATATCTGTACATGCTGTGCTTCTCTCAAAAAAGAACATAGTTCCTCTCCTCTCCAGAGAGACTGTATGTCACTCGCTGGACTCCACAGCTCCCGCAAAGAGTACAACACACCTCCTTCCCAATCCCCACATTGTACTGCACGGAAACCCAGGCTGACCCTAGGGAGTCTGGTTCAGCCAATCAGGACTGCCCTATGCACTACTGTCATCTGTCACCAGGAATACTAAGGGACTCTACAGAGCATACTGAGATGTGTGCACAGGACTCATCCGGCTGCACAATGTCTGCACTTGAAGATCTCCTCTTTTCAGGGCCTCACTATTTGAGGACTCCTATACGTGTGCAGGGAGCCAGCTCCGATGCACTGGAAATCCAATGCATTGGAGCAGACTTGATTAACTGAGTCTGCTGGAGCACAGAAATAAATGCGCTCCAGCAGACTCACATGTATCAGCATCCCCGTGCCGAAAAATGGTGTCAGGGCACTTTGAACTGAAGCTTGTTCGATGAGCTTTAGTTCAAAGTGTCCCACTGCCATTTTTCAGTGTGGGGGACGCTGATACATGCAATTTTCTGAGGCTTTTAATTAGCGCGGCTCATTAATTGAAGTGCCCCTCCCCCACCTCCCAGGGCATGTATAAAAATGCCTTGTATGTCTGTACATGTGGCCCTGGATAAATTTCTCTACCAGGAGAACAAACCTAGAAGAATTCTTCCAGATTATGTGAATAGGTGTATGCAGCCTAAGGGTGCTCATGTGAGAAGCTAGTATGGAATTTCTAGGCAGTTTTCTTATACTGTCAATCCCTTTAAATTACAGTGATCAAAGCAAAACTGATTGAAATATAACTTTTTTCACTAAAATCAACCTAATTTCCAAGATTACCCGAATCACAGATCATTTGGATTATACCATTTGTCTTTTACACAAGAAACAGACTGGTAGAATAATTGGTAACTAGGGTGGGTGACCACCGCTGCTGCCACAGGACAAAATTACAGCACTGGCAGAAACAGTGGCAACACTTGGAAGTTGCCACTGCTCCTGTGTGTGGCAGCTACCCCAGATCCCTCAGCCAAGTCATTATGCCTCTGAGAATAGTCTACATCTATTAATGGATTTTCTTCTCATCAGTAATTCTTACATAACCTAATAACTCATAGAAAATGTGAGCAGCACATCAAAAAGTCAGAAACAGTAAAACCAAAAAATGAATGAATTGTCTCTTTTAATTAAGACTTTAAATGTTACTGTGCCTTTCTAATTCCATATGAACAGGACTTAGTCATCAACATCACACAAAGAAACAATTTGTGTTACTCCATAATATTTTCATAGACATTTCTCAGTCCATTTGACCGTAAGACTTGTTTCCAGACAACCCATAATAACTTAATCCATTATAATTCAAACCAGTCATTATTTCATCGGGAGTCTGTTTGTGTGTGACAAACAAGAAATCTGTTATATTCATATTCTCCTTATTCTACTTCACTTGAGGCACTGGTTGAAATCCTGACCTCACTGAAGTCAGTAAGGTCAGGTTTTCAACGATTCTATATAAAATGTGTTCCCAAAGAGACTCAGCCCCATGCAGACCCTAACTTGTGTTGAATGTTATTACTAAGACAACTACAGACAGTGTCCTTTGTGTATGAGGTGCCCCACAATACCATACTCAGCAGTGAGTATGCAATTAAATGAAGCAGCCTTTATTTGCTCAACAATAGTTCACGCACAGCTCTCACTATTAAGATATGTTTGACTTTCATTTCATGGAAAGTGACAAATTATAGTTTTTTATTTTTTCTCCAGCTTTATGTGCAATCAAAATCAATACCTTCTTCTTTGACTCGCGTTGGCAGCACTTGGTACCCGACACTGTTCTGGGCTAAACACTTAAAGTCTGTGTAGAAATCCACTTCTCTGACTGGATCAAAAATCAAAGGCACCTCGATGAAGTTTTCACCATTTTCTACAATTTCCCTGGAATAAAAATAATACATTTGCTTACCTTCTTCCATATCTAACTTGAGGTTACTCATCTGAGTTGGCACCGGTTTAATAGTCAGGGATCAGGTTTGGGCCCAATCTGACAGCCCTATGGAAAAGACTATTACACGGTTTCCAGCCTCCATTTCTTACTCCCTGTCAACAGCTCCCTGAGCTTACTCCTTGTAGCTCAGCTTCAACAGGACTCAAGGATGCTCCCCTCCTCCCAGCCTATTCTAAAGCCTCAGGTTAGAGCACTTTATAGTGAATTTGAATCCCCTCAGGCCTGGAGCTTAGGTCTCTTGTGCCTTAATCACCAGGCTATTATGTAAAAGGATGAGTAGCAATAGCTTTTTAATTGAAAGTGATTGTGGTTGCAGTGCTCTGTGTTGAACTCAATATTGGTGTACATTAAGCTTCCTTTGGGCATACATAACAGATCACCCTTAAGGGCACAAAGCAGAGTTTAGAAGTTTGTACAGAAGCCTCAGGGAACTTTACAATCCAAAATATAGGTGCTGAATTAATTTAGGAGCCTAAGGAACTTGTGGGTGCTTCAGCAGAGGTATTCTGGGTCCGGCTTGAGGACTTTAGCATCAAAATTTCAATTAAGATCCAACTAGGCACACCTAGTTTTCCATTCTGGATCGTGCCTCCAGTCACTTGTAGATGTATAAAGTTATTCATAAGTGAGTATTCCCATAGGAATTAATGGACCAACCCATTAGCATGAGACTGCTCACTTGCATGTGTTTTTTAGGATCTGGACTTAAAGGATCAAATTAAATAAAATTTAGAATCACATCCGGAAACAGAACTGTTCATTTCCTTCTTCACTCCGATATTCCATAGCACAGAATGTGCCTATGACATTTCCGAACAACCTCCCACCCTCAAGCAAACAGCACGACAGCTCATCAATACTCACTGATGCTCCCCCACTGTAACTCGGTCATCTTTGTACATCGTGTCAATGTTCGTGTCATTGGCAAGCCATCTCACAATAGTATAAGAGTCTCTGCTTAATCCAATAAATACTTTACATGGAATAATCATCTTATAGCCTGTTTTTAGGAGAAAAGAAAAAGAAATTACACAGATATATTTAGAGGTGTAACTGACCAGAACTGTGCTCTCTCACTCCCTCCTGTACCTTCAGCAGAGGCTCCAGCAGTGGGCAGAATACAGGAGTAGCAACAAGGTCACTGCTGCTAATGGCAGATGTCATCTCATTTCTTTGCTACAGACACCCATGTTAACAAGGCACAAAACGAGCAGGCCTCTCCATTTTGGTGGCAAAAAATGGGCTGACATCTCCTCCATAGCAGTAGCAAACTTCAGCTGCTACCACTCTACAGAACTATATTGCCCATAATGTCCTATACCCACCACCTCTGCTTGCTGCTGTGGCTCAAATTGGAAAGTGCCAGAGAGGACAGACTGGGGGATAGGAGGATGACTTGTTCCCCACACCTCTCATTAGACAGTGCCCAGGGCTTAGGCCTGCTCACCCATCCATTTTTATGCTACTGGATATATTCAGCCGCTAGTGGGGGGGGCACGACAGAATGAACCAGCTCAGGTCAGAGGACAGCAGGCATTAGGACCTACCTGCTGTTTTTGCTTATCCACACAGCTTAGCTGATGCATGACATGGCAAACAGCAGCGCAACGCTTAGGCAGAGCAACCCCACTGCCAGAGCCCTAGACGGATGACCCCCACAGCCAAATGCTGCCAAAGCCACAGCTCCATAAACTGGATCCAGCCTGTGGGCCATTGGTCGCCAACTGCTGTATTAAGCAATACCATTTCCCACACTGAAGACCACTAATTTCAGTAAGAGGTAATACCCCACACATGTTGACCATAGCTTCCTCTTTTCATAGCTGCATAGAGAAGCTCTGTCCAATGAGTCCATCTCTGCTTCTTGGCAGCAAGACCAAACATTTTGGCAGCTGTCCCTATTATTTAGACACTAAGCAAATATCTGTTTTTTCATACGTCAGTTAGTAACATTTGCTCTAGCCCCATTCCTCAGGAGACAAGTCTACATTCCAATGGCTCAAATCTTTCTGAGACATTGCAATTACTGTGCGTCAAAGGAATAATTTACAGCTTAAGAGCCACCTGATTCACAGGCCGTGTAACATCATTCCCAGATGTGCTATCTGTTGGAGGCAATCCTGTTTAAAATGACAGTGAATACAAGAGGAGCCTCCAAAAATAGGTAAAGGCACAATGAAAATATCAGGAATTTTGCAATAAACCACTTTAGTCCTGAGTTAGGATGATGAACCTTCACCAGGATGCAACTACTGCATATTGAAAATATGTGGTCAGATAACACACTTGAATTAAAGTGCAAAGTTTACATGAAACTAACTGTGAGGTAGGTAAGTGGAGAATTCTGGTTTGCATTAATGCAGTGTTGGGGTATAGTGGCAAAGGGGTTATGTTGACTTGCAATAGCTCCAGATGCACAAATTCAAGCCCTGTCTTGATGGGTGATGACTCTGCTATAAATGGGTACAGTGGGTCACTGTCCAGGAAGTCAGAAATGGCTGGATGTGATGCTAGCCAGCATCACTCCCATAGGAGCTGTTAGTTACAAAAACTGGTGTGCCTCACACATGTTACTCATTTTGTTCACTTAGGCTCTGATGTCATAAAAGGGAAAGGACAATTAAAAGTCAAGTTTTTGGAGCATAAATTAATAGTTAATACAGTAAAAAAAAGTCTGTTGTTAAATATATTTTAGATTTTGGCGGGGTTGGAGATTTGGAACATAAGCTTCACATCATAAAATAATGTACAATGTAATGATGTTGAGACCACATCAAGATACCCTGATCATTAATTACAGAGTGTCTGAAAAGCTACAAGTCAAACACTTAAAACAAACAAAATTGTTCCAAAAATCAAGAAAACCATTTTTCAAGGGTATGAAATAGCCCAGATCCTCCTTAAATAATACAGAGTGGGGGAAGTTAGGAAAGATAAGAAAAAAATGTTGAATAAGCCAGAGCTCTAAAGATAGAGACACAAAGGTTCTTTGGGTAAATGTGATATTTTTTATTAGACCAACTAAATAGTTGGAAAAAATGTTCTTTGCAAGCTTTCAGGTACAAACACCCTTCTTCAGGCAGAGGGGGAGTCTACAGTTGTATTACAGTGTCTGAAGAAGGGTGTGTGCTCTAGACCCGTGTGAAGCAGCTACTACTCGCTTTGGATTCAGATTCGGCCGATTCAGGGGACAGTGATTTGATTTGGTGATTTGAATCACTGTCCCTAATCAATTCAGCCAAATCTGATTCAGAAATTCGGCTGCTGCCCCAGCCCCCCCATGGCTGCCTCACCCGAGCCAGCTCCGGCCTTTTAAGGAAAAAAAACCTGAAAAAACCCCGGGACTCACCACTCCTGCCAGTGGGGGACAATCCCCGCTGCCCCGTGCCACATGGGGGTTTCTGCATGAGCCCCCAAAACCCTGAGGCTGCTGCAGGAGCGGTGAGTCCCAGGAGGGGGGTTTCTTAAAAGGCCAGAGCTGGTCCAGGTGGGGCACCCATGGGGGGGCTGGGGGAGCGAGGGGGGGGTCAGGGGGCTCATACAGAGCCCCCCACACAACATGGGGCAGTGGGGGACAGCAGTTATCGTCCCCCGCCTTGCAGCGCTCGGTGAGCACCGGGGCTTTTTTTAAAGTACCGGGAGCTGGGGCAGGCGGGGGCAGCCATGGGGTGAATGGGGGAGCAGGGGGAGGTCAGGGGGGCTGGCAGGGGCCCCCCCACACCCAGCTCCCCAGCCCCTGCCCCTAGTACTTACCAGTTCAGAGTCAGCCACAGCTCCCTGCTGCAGCCACGGGGGACTGTCCGAATCATCAAAACACTCCAAATCTTTGCTGAAGATTCAGAGAGCTTTGAATCGATTCAGACCTTTAAAATGGTCCCCTGATTCAATTTGGATTCAGAGATTCAGCCACAGATTCAGTCTGAATCAAATCACCACCCAAAGCTTTGCACAGCCCTAGTTTGTACCCAAAAGCTTGCAAAGAATAATTTTTCCAATTATTTAGTTGGTCTACTGAAAGATACCACATTTACTAAAAGAACCTTGTCTGTCTATGTCCTTAGACCAATACAGCTACAACCAACAACCCTCTAAAGATAGTTAAATGCCTTTGTTGCTTTACTAGCCATTAGCATACAATGTCATTTTGCTTCAGTATCTGTCCAATTGACGGAACCTGCAAATTAACAAAAGTTAATGAATAAAAACCACCCCTAGCTCAGATCCTCAGCCCATGCAAATCACAGTTGGCAGAGCTATAACAGTTTACACTAACTGAGACTCCCCCCATACTTTCTTGATTTTGGCCTTACCAGGAACAGCTAATGTAGTCTTCTGATCTGGGTATACAATCACGGGGGTGTTTCTCTTCTCTGTTTCTGATCAGAATTGAGAAGACCAAAGGCAAGGTTAATGCAGTACACAACAAAATAATTGTACAAGATCTACAAATGGAAATTTTCCATTTTGTATAGCACCTTTCTCACTCTAGTAAAGCTTTTGATGATACCAGTTATAATGAGAGGAATTACAATTTCAAGCTAATGGACTTAAATAAGGGAACTTGTTAGACATGCATAGATTCAGGCCTTGATCATGAAAGCTTCATCATCATCACATAATGCACAATAGAATGATAAAGGTAGACATGTGCAACAGAGGAGGGATATTTACAAGGTTAAGCAGAAGACATAGTCCTCTCTACTGAGAAGTAAAGCTAGAAATCCTTGCAGTGCTCAAACCCACAAGAGCACTCTCAGCAATAAGTTTTGAGCAGAGACATTGAAAGTGAACCTCAGGCACACAACTAAGACTCTTAGGAGACCCTCTCCAACTTCACACCTGCTGTTAGGTGTTATGTCAGTAATCTAGCAACCACAAAGCACATTCTTTTTAATGCAGGTTTTCTTTTGCAATCACTATCCCACCCATCACTTCTATTCTAACTTTGTGCTTCTGTGTGGAACGGACTGCATCTGTGTTGTGCACACAATAGCAGGATATTCAATAGGAAGGCTCAGATTAAAGATTTGTTTCTTTACAGATTACCCAGGTCACACTGAAATCCTGAGTGATGACATTAAAAACTGCAAGCAGAAGAGAACTTCAAGTGAGGAAGATCTGAAAGATCTATTCCTTTTGCAGTTGCAGTAGAGCCAATATACATGCAGATAAATACAAGTCCAAGTTTCTTGGAATTGGGAAATTCTGAACATCATTTTCAACCTTCTCAGTCCTACATAATCGTAGACTAAAATATAACATGCCTGCCCTCTTGCGTTTGTGTTGTGTACTGCCATAGTATTAAAAAAAATGACTGCCAGGTTTGTTTATTAGTGCAGCAGACAAGGGAATCTGTATCATATTTCTAATGAAAAAGTGAAATGAATAGCTTTTCTTTCCATCCCCTATTAGTTTAATTAAAGATTATATTTTCTAAACTCCCTGAAGTCATTTTCAGTGACTCCTATGACAAATTATTCAGTTTAATAACTCCAAGCACTTACAAAAGCACTGTTCCACCTCCCACAAGTACACTGCTAAATCCTATTGCTGGCTCATCTGTTCACCAAACAAAGAGCTGAGCTGAGCTGTGGCCACAGTGTTCTGTGAAAACTATTTTAGACCATTATTGAAAGCAAGAAAGATGCAAGCTGTTCTGGTATCCTACTTTTTCTGACAGCTAACCAGCAACAGCACAGAGATAATCATAAATTCCCTCTTGTGGATTTCATTGACAAAGACCATTTGGGGGCTGGACTTGATGATCTTCCGAGGTCCCTTCCAGCCCTAATATCTATGAAATTTTGCTGAGAGATTCTGGTAAACAGAGTAGTGTCTTAAGCAATGAATATTTACCAACAGTCTGTAGCTGTATAGTTCTGGTGACTGGATACTGTGTGCCTTCATATGTAAAAGACATTTTGCAGGTGTAATAGCCAGAATCTTCTGGTAACACAGAACTGATGATGAGAGAGGTTGTTTCTTTCAGTCTTATGTATTTTTTGTTGTCTTCATCCAAAGGCACAGAATCCTAGGGAAACAACCACAAAAAAAGAGGTGCCTTGGTTAAAACAGGCCTGTATATAAAGAAACTTGGGACTTGATGCTCTCTGTAACCTCCAGGGAAAATCACTTATATGCTCTTATCTAAGTTTTAGTATCTCGTTTATGATGGATATCTGAGCAACTTTTCTTTAGTGCCTGGAAAATAGAAAGATTTACATCCAAATAACTATCCTTCAGAGAGGATAAACCCATAAACTCTGAAATGCTTTGAGTCATAAGCAGGGATCCTGGTTTTCTCTGATTAAAAAAAATCCCAAATTTTCGGTTAAAAAAAAGTAACCCCAAATCGACATTTTTTTGTGATTAAAACGAAACGCCACTATCTATACATACATACATACACACACACACACACATAAAACCATGACAATGAAACACTATATAGATGTTTAATTTAAATCATGAAAAAATGTGGATCTGGGGTTACTTTTTTTTAACCGAAAATTTGGGATTTTTTTTAATCAGAGAAAACCAGGATCTCTGGGTTTTTCTGCTTTTATATATAGCTTTTCTAACAACACACGCGTTTTTAAGATAGAGCCCATCTTCTTTAATTCTCCTTGTAGTAATCATTTATCCTACCCAGTCTCATAATATATGTAACATGTTTCTCAGCCATTATTCCTAATTCTAACTGAAAATTTGCTATCAGGAAGCATATTCTTTCCAGTAGAGTCAGGGGCTTTTCTTATGATAAAGACATTATTAATCACATTGTAAAACTGAATTTTACCTAAGTAAATTAGCCCTCAGCCTGGTAATCACATTACAATCAGGCAAGTAATATTTGCTAGCATGGTTTCAACCATAACATAGTCACTACCTGATAAAAACAAACCTGGTTACCAGTTCTCTTTATTTGTATACAACTAGTTACTGCAGAGTTCCAAGCTCTCTATACTAGAGTTCTGAATTAAGTGATGGTTGGTATCAAATTGTGAAACATGAAACAAAAGTTTGGAAAGTAAATAATGTGTTTTGCACAAGTCCAACATGCAGTTAGCAAGACTACTCCAGGAAATTCTGGCATAAAGGACAGTATTTTACTGAAACATAGATAAGAGAGAGAGAGAGAAAGCCTGAGGTAGGCAAGCTCTGACACATCCCAAGTTGCTGTAAATAAAACGTTGTTTCCATCTCACAAGCCTCATGAAAATACTACCAACAGCTCAACGGCTGCTTCTGACACAAACTGCGATGCTCTCCTAATAGTTGTCATACCTCATGTCTTGAATCCAGAAATAAGTAGTTATGAACATACATTTTACAAAGAAATATTAATTGTTGGACTCACGTCTCCCCCCTTGCAAGTCATAAAACTTCAATAAAAGATTTGGGAGAAAAAAAGAATCCTAGAAGTGGAGAGAGGTTATCGAAGCATACCTCTATCCCCCTCATAGTCTTTTAAAATTACTACTTTAATGATAAATGATGACCTAACACTTTTACTTCCATCTAATTTCTCTCATTTCCATGTCTTTTCCCATGATACTCCCTCTGCTTGGAAACCTGTTGAGTAGAGGTGGGAAATGTTTGTTTGTTTGTTTTTTTAAATGGTTCTATTTCCCTGTCAGTTTTGTATTGTTCCCTACTGGGATCAAAGAGTTTAATTTCTTTCCTGGGACAAGGAAATAAGAGATAAGTGTCAGTCACATTGTCATATCTCAGATCTATTCAGCCAGGCAAGGAGGTTTGACATCCTCAGTCAAAGAAAAAGAAAAAGCTTGTAAAGAAAGGACATGTAATGTCATGAAGTTAAAAAAAAAATACTGCTAGGGAGAAATACTTATTTCATTAAGACACCCAGAATAACATATGTGAACATCGCAAAAGGCTTCGTAAGAGATTCTTGTCCTTCAAAAAAAGAAATTAACATTCTTTACCTTGTACCACTTCAGCTCTAGGTCTGCTTTCTTGTCTATGAAATCCTCCAAATCAGGGCAAACAAGTTTCCCAGAAGTAAAAGTGAAGAGCTTTTGCATGTAGGAAATAGCATGAGCAGCAGTTTTCTCAACAACTGTTAAATGAATGGACACCTTGGCACAATAAGAAGAATTCCTGCAAGCAGATGACAGAGATGTTGACAACTGTGGACCCCATAGAACAGAAAGTGAAAATCAATAATACTTTTAAAAATAATCATGAGTAAATGTAATGCATGTGGAAGGTACTTGGTAAACCATCCTAGAAACTGAAATCCTCCAGTTAGCTACAGAACTACTGTAGGAGCAATACACACCATCCTCCCCTTCTGCTGACATGACTGAACACTGACCTGAAGGAAACCTCTCAAGGTCTGAGTTGGCACTTTAGTTTCCATGATTATTCAGTCAATAACTGCTCTGTGCTAATATTAGAAACATCTCTGCTTAAATGCAGATAAAAGTCTTATTCCTGTTCCTAAAAAAACAAAGAAATTCAAGCCCAAACTTCGCATTTACAGACTTGCTCTTTTCACCGGGTGTGGAAACTCAGGCATATTTACTCTGTCAAAGGACTGCACTAGGCAGCAGGGCAATGTGGCATGCCTGCTCTACACACAAGTCCCACAAGGACAGAAATGTAGCCATCCTTGGTATGGCATTGGACACATGCCAATAAGCCAAGAGAGAGGTCTTCAAATAGGTGTCTGTCTGATACTGCACTATGAGCTGCTACATCATTTTAGGGTGTGACATGATTCCCTTCAGCACTCCCCAGTGTGGTGTGGAGAAAGTGTAGACATGCTCTGTGTTGGGTGGCACAGTACCTACGGGAGTAGTCTGAGCATGTTGTCTCTCTCACCACTGAGAGATTAAGGTCGCACTTCAAAATCAGGACAAGGGGGCATTGCCGGTGGTTAGAGCAGAGAACCAATAGTCAGGACTACTCAGTTATATTGTCTACTACTCTGTGCCACTAAGTAAGTCAATTAACTTCTCTGTACCTCTGTTTCTTCTTGACTTAGTCCCAGTAAGTCAAGGCCAAGTAAACACAGGCAGTCCGCAGACTTATGACACAATTGGTTCCTGAAAACCACGTTTTAATTCGAAATGCTGTAACTCAGAACTGATTTTCCCATAGGAAACAATGTTATAAATGGAGGATTAGTTCTTGAACCAATGCCTGATACCCTATTTTCACCAAAAATAATCCATAACTTTGTACTCAATCAATTATAGATGAGTAATATAGCTACATTAATGTATTTATATTGTAATTAGCAATCACATTGATTTGGAAGGACATCTTTGAGATGACTGCTGGACTTTTTGAAAGGCTCTTGGTTGGACTTTTTGAAGGGTTCTTGGCTGGAGTCTTCTCAGGAGTCTTGGCTACAGGTTTTTCTGGAGTCTTGTCTGCTTTCTTAAAGAAAGTATCCAAGGAAGCTTGGACAGATGTTCTCCAGGGAGAGGGGTGACACAGTGAATGTGTTCACTAGCATGGCATTGCATCGAATTAAGCATTGTAAAGTCAAAACTGACGTCAGAAAGTTGAAATAGGGTGTCAATTTATAAATGTTGTAAGTGCAAAATGTTGTAACTCAAAATGTTGTAAGTCGAGGACTGCCTGTACTAGGTTATGGGCAGGGATCTTGGACCAGTATTGCTTTTAGCAGACTCTGAGCTTGTTGCTGGTTCTTTAGATTTAATGTCTGAAACTTTCCTTTGAATATTGTGTTGACATATTAGTGCCCAGTAAATTAATTAACTTCACTACTGTCGGGGACAAGTACTATCCTATAACAGAGTAGTTACATGCATCAAAATACACATGCAGATGGTGACTGGGGCTGACTGAGAGTGCTACTGTACAGGGGCTGCCTGCCAGCTAGCCCCGCACTATAACACCCTTGTGCCCCAGCCAGCCCCTCCGCAGCACTGAGCCAGGCTGGAGCACCCCTGAGTTGGCAGACTAATCCCCCAGGCTCCCCACCAGCCCAGGGCTGCTCCGACCCAGCTCAATGTGCTGCAGTTTCGGGTGCATGTGTAAATACTGCACTCAGGAGAAATCAACTCCATTGCAAACTGCACTGGAGTTTATTACTATGTTCTAACTGCACTTGTCAATGCACCTGCTGTGAGTGGTCACATGTTAAGGGCTAATTTTATTTCTTGCTTGCTCTGACTTGCTATGAGAAAGCTGGTGAGCAGGGGTGTGACTAGAAGCCAGGTCACCTGGGTGCTATCCTTGCTCTATCTGGGCTGGGAGCAGTGCATTCTGGGATTCTGGAGGACTGCAAATTGCTTGTTTTATCTCCATGGAGTAGACTGAGGTGACCCTAACATGAGCTAGGCAGTATGGCCCAGCATCAACCTTATCCTGAAGTAGCATAACTTTGAGACACTCAGAGAACACTTAGCACAAGTGAATGAGCTTTAACCCTCAGACATTCGTATTTTAAGTGCCCTTCATCCTTAGACATAGACAATTTGTTTAATTTACAAACCTACCTTTGAGTGCAGACATATACTCCTGTGTCCTCTAGTGATGCTGGTAAGAACCAAAGAGTATCACCTTTTGCCTGAATTCTCTGTTCTTTATCTTCTCCTGAGATCACGGGTTGTGAATCATTTTTATGCCATGTCAGATTGAGAGAGAGGTCAGAAAAGGCCAAAGACCCATGACTCGAGGAAGAGCATTTCAGAATCACAGCTTCTCCTCTTAGTACAAAGTAGTGTTTGAAATATACCGTGTGGTCCTGGCATTGCTCTACATAAACCAGAGAAATTGTTTCACATTAGCACTGGTCAACCACATTATCAAGCTAGCTAAAATTCTGACCCAAGATTTGCCTTTACCTATGCTTTTCACAGGTTGGATTCTAAATGCAGATGCATCCATTGTGCAAAAAGAGATTGCAAGCAAGAGCGCAGGTGTCTTTGTCCACAAGAAATGGGAATGAGAAAAATGGGAAACAGCATCCTGAAACCTGCAGGTAAGAAGATCAAGTATATAACACAGTTAGTTTTAAAAAATAATAATATTCAGTGTTAACTGCTCTTGTCATATCACTCTTATATCTAGCTAGCTTTAGAGCACCCACTGTAAACAAAAAGATGCCTTCACCTCTAAGCTATGGTATAAATGGCCCTGTAGATCTGAAGGAGAAAGGAGTCCCAGATCAGTTTTGTTGTATTTTTCAGTTAATGTGATGACTTGTTAAGGGATCCTTCCTCCTTCAGATTCTAAGCCCCTAACAAGTCATCACATTAACTGAAAAACACAACAAAACTGAGCTCTAAGATAAAAAAAAATGCTCAGAACAGAAAACTTCAAAATGTAACATGCTACAATCCAATGGACTAATATATAATCTTGGGGCCAGAATTGAGTATGAGCTAGAACCTATTTATCAACACTTGAGAAATGCCACAGGGTAAATGGTCTTTCTTACAATTCTGATCAAATTCTGGAGCCACATCCATGTTGGCTCTAGTTCCCTTCTAAGCAAGGACTGGAATGGTCCAAGAAGAATACTCTTCTCCCCCACCATCAAAAAATAAAAATTTTGCTGGCTCAAAAATTTGAGATGAAAGCCAGAACATTCACCTGGTGAGTGGACTATTAGCATAAGGTAACACTCCATTTTCAAGGATGCTAGACAAATAGGTAGACACGCATATTTCCATTTAAAGACCCTACACTGACTCCAGATACAACACCAGTTGGTATCACACCTTGGAGAACATAAGATACAAGAGAACCAAGACTCTGCAAACCCACATTGGTGCCAACAGCTTACATTATAGGATGCATTTAATAACACTGCTCTGGCACTTCACACTAATCCCCAGACCCTGCCCCCCTCCCCTCTCGCCCCCCCCCAAAAAAACCCTCATAGGTTAGCTTGAGGAAACAGACTCATGTCATTTCCCCCCATTCCTTAAATGCAGACTTCAACCTAGAACTGAATTAAGTCATTGGTTTTTCAGCCCAGCTAGTGTTGATTGTTACTGAACTGCTGATTCTGCTTGCAACATGGCAAACGTTGTACTCTATAAATAAAGTGAGGAGAATACAAACCATGTTTAGCTTTATGCTAGTCTATCAAACCCAACATTACCCCTGCCATGGCATGCGACTTGTGGAATGATAGGGTCTGGCTGTTATATGCAGATCAGCTGTGCCACATTCTTTTCACTTCTTGAAAAGCATGAGACAGGCCACAGAATGCTACAGTCCCCAAAGTGCTTTGTGAAACAACCTCCCCCCACCCCCACTGGAATCTAATACTGGAAAGTCAAAGGCTTTGTTTGCACTGCAGTCAAAAGTGGTGTTGGCACATATGTGTAAATTAGTTTTAATCTAGTGATTTTGGGTGAGATTATCAGTGAAGACAGCGCAGCACCAGCTTTAGACACTTTGGTAAGCATATACCTAGAGTCTCTGACTGTTTTGCATAGCTGACATTGAAGCCCATGCTCTTCACTGTTGTGGTTACCCAGAAGAGATAGATTAAAAACTGGGATATGCTTACTAGGGCTGTGCGTAACAGCACCATTCCATTTCAACTCTGTTTCAACATTTCAATGGGACAGTGTTTCATTCCAACTCTCATTTTGTTTTGAAACCACTGTTCGTTTTGTTTCGTCAAAACTGTTTTGCTGTTTTGACATTTTGCCCATAGGCTATAATGGGGAAGCACAAAACTGCCTATAATTTTGTCATTTCCTGCCTGATTCAGATGACATTTTCAGGGATGGTAGCCCCTTCTGAGGCCATGAAGCCTGCCAAGTTTCAAGGAGATAAGTGCAGGGGTTTCTGGGAAACTGCACCTCAAATCTTGAAAGCAAAACTGTATCTCGTGTGTGTTAAGGCACAGCAGGGTGAAAACTGCAGGCATGCTAGGCCCTGCTGAGGCCATAAAGCATACCAGCTTTCAAGGAGATAGGTGCAGGGATTTCTGGGAAATTGCACCTCAGGCTACTGACAAGCAAAACTCATGACATGGGTGACACTGTGTGTGTGTTAAGGCGTGCTCTCACGGGCGCTGGGGCATCTACACGACATAGTAGTGTGCCCCAATGAGGGCTCCTCCTCCCCTACAGCCTCAGCTCAGAACACAACTTTAAATGACAACAGGTAAAATAATAACTTAGTGAGCATCAGCACAGTAGCACCAGCAGCATCTTAGGCAGCCAAACTGTAATGGAGCCTTTCTTTCCTCTCTGCAGCAGCTTCTTCTCCAGGAGCTGCCACAGAACTCTCCCTGCCAGCCCCAGATCTGGGGCTTAGATGTGCCCAGGGCCCTGCTTCCTTCCAGTCAGGTGCTAGGAGTGTTGGTCTAAGGACATGGCACTGGCAGACAAGGTCCTTTCCTTTGAGTCAATCTAATCTAGTATGTTTTAGCAGACAAACTGAATAGTTACAGAAATATATCTTAGCAATCTTTCAGGTTGAAAAACCCTTTGTCTGACTGAAGAAACACCTGCAGTTGGTCTGTTGTTTGTGGATGGAAGGAATAGTAAAGAAGCCAGAGGCTGGCATGCAATGCAGGCAAGAAAGCCATTCAGTGAAAATGGAAATGGAGGCATCAAGGAGGGAGGGACAGGCTGGCGTGAGGGAGGAAAGGGGGATGTAGCAGCACAGATAAAAGTGGAGAGGTACCTGGGGAGTCAGATGTCCAGCAGGTTGTAGTGTGTCATAAATCCAATGTCTATATTGAGTCCATGAGTTTCTGTACCAAGGTGGCTGATGAAATGAAGTTCATAGGCCAGGCTGTGAAAAGTGGTTTGTAAATTCAAACAAGCACCAAACCTTGCTAAGCTCATCACCAGAAGACATCTTCCTACAGACCAAAACACAAAACCTACCAACAATCTCCAGTACCCCTACAAACTGCACACCAGAATCTATCAAAGACAATACCCAACTACCTGTGGGGGCACATTTCTCACAAAAAACCCCACTTTGTCTCCAGTCTCTCAGGCCTGATACTGAAAGGGAATTTACAAACCACTTTTCAAAGCTGGGCCTATGAACTTCACTTCATCAGCCTCCTAGGTAGTAGGTAAATAAACTCATGTCAGCTGTCTTTCCACCATGCTCCATGGTATTTCATAGACATCATCAGGGCTGGAAGGGACCTCGGAAGATCATCGAGTCCAGCCCCCTGCCCAAAGGGCAGGAAGTCAGCTGGGGTCATAGGATCCCAGCAAGATAAGCATCCAGTTTCATCTTGAAGGTGTTCAATGAAGGCGCTTGAACCACCTCCGGTGGCAAGCTGTTCCAGACCTTGGGGGCTCGGACAGTAAAGAAATTCTTCCTTATGTCCAGCCTGAAACGATCTTGAAGTAGTTTGTGACCATTCGACCTCGTCATCCCTTGGGGCACTCTGGTGAACAAACGTTCCCCCAGATACTGGTGGTCACCCCTGATAAACTTGTAGGTGGCCATCAGATCACCCCTAAGCCTGCGCTTTTTCAGGCTAAAGAGCCCCAGGGCTCTCAGCCTGTCATCGTAGGGTCTGCTTCCCTGACCTCTGATCATGCGCGTGGCTCTTCTCTGGACTCTCTCAAGCTTCTCCACATCCTTTTTGAATTGTGGAGCCCAAAACTGGACACAGTACTCCAGCTGCGGCCTCACTAAGGCCGAGTACAGGGGGAGAATGACGTCCCGGGATTTGCTTGAGAAGCATCTATGGATGAAAGC